GATTATCGTCGAAATCCTGCAGGCGCTTCACTGCACCAAGAGAGGTCTCCAACTGAACCCATGATCGCACGGTTGCGCATGCTAATTCGCTGAGCGTCATGAGCGACACCAAGCTAGCGCCAACAAGTCCGGCATGAGATGATGCCACAATTTGTGTGGCAAAGCAAGTGACTATAACGGCGATGATGCCCACAATCAGGTTCAGATTCAGCGTCAGCCACTGCTGGGCAAGATCGAGCAGATAATCCGGCTGTAAAGACTGGTTCAAGAACAGGTCAAATGCTTTCTGGTATTGATTTATCCACTGAAATGCTCGGATGGAAATTAAACCTGCGACAACGTCCTGGAACCTAGAACTTGTGGACTGTTAGCCTCTTAAAGTGAAAATACTAGCCAAAACAGGCAACAACTCACTACAAAGGACTTCTCGCTTCGAGGTCCAGCAATCGAAGTTGTCTTGACGTTTTGAGATAGTAATTCTGGAGCAAGTACAGGACTCCAAAGATAAAGGGGTATCCGATGGCAATGTACGGCGTTGCAACAGCGACGACAACTAGCTGCCCAATGACTGTGAATCCTGATAGTAAAGTATTGGAAATAGCAAATATGAGTTGGTTATCAAGCATGCCCATATCTTGCGAGAAAAGGTTCGTCGTTGTACCCTTGTCTACAGAACTAAAATAAGTCAATGGCAGACTAAATAAGCACTTGAGTGCCCTCAAGTGGAGCTCAGAACCTGCTTGTCTGGGCATTTGCATCTGCGTACTACCGAGAAAGCCGGCAAGACTAACAAGGCCGAACACTTGGAAGAGGGCGAGAAGGCCAAGGTACAATGCTTGAGACTGATCATCGGGCCAATGGAACGAGTTTTTGGCCCAGAATCCTACCCAAACTGTTCCAAAATTATACCCAAAGCTGAAGAGGGTTCCGGTTACAAGAGCTAACACCAAGATTCTGGGGTTAAGAGCCTTGATATACTGGGTGTAGACCTTTCCATCATGCCGGCTTCGGAGTAGTCGCTTGCCATTGTCTCCCTCGACCGTGGACTTGACCACCGGCCGTTCGCCATTTGAGCTGCTAGAGGACGAAATGCCGTGTTTTTCTGCGGTATCCAGTATGCTCTCTTCAACAAGGCCAGTTGCCTCGGCGTTGGAAGGACCGCAACTCTGCACCTTGCCATCCTTTCCTAGAACGATGACCTGCTGCGCGAGCGAGAGGTATTTAGTTGAGTGAGTGCACCAAATGACTGTTTTTGTCCGTAAGATGCCATCTGCCCCAAAAAGCCGCCGAGTGACCTCATTGGACGTTTGCGTGTCGAGGCCGCTGAGCGTATCGTCTAGAACATAGAGAGTTGCGTCGAGATATAAGGCGCGAGCCAAGGCTACTCGCTGTTTCTGGCCACCACTAAGATTCATTCCGTTGCTTCCAACTAGCGTCTCATCGTGCTGCAACATATTTCGAATGTCCACATCCAGTAGAGTCGCCTGTAGGACTGACTTGTAACGCTGTTCATGGAACTTTTGGTCAGGGCCAACGATGTTTGCGCGAATAGAATCATTAGTAAGAAATGGGGTTTGGCCGCAAAAGCCTATTTGCCCAAAACAGGTCGGTCGAACGCTGACCGTACCCTGAACGAAAGGAATTTCACCCAAGATACCCATACAGAGCGTTGACTTTCCAGACGCGACGGGGCCTGTGACGATGGATAACTGAGAGTCAGAGAATGCAATGTTGAGGTTAACTAGCGACCACTTGTCTTCCTGCCAACCAAAACTGACGTCTCGTAATGAGATGACCTGCTCTGGCCCCTTTTCACCCGCAGAATGGAGGGTGCTTCGGTATTCGGCTCGGTTCGGCTTGGAAAGAAAGTCGTAGATTCTCTTGAAGCTCGCAGTAGACGCCAACATTGATGGGACTGTCTGAAATAGCTGAGAGAGCGGGCTTGAAAGTAGCGTTAGGTACGACAGCGAGGCGTAAACCTGCGAGGTGTCGAGACCCCGGCCGATACTAGTGAAGGCAAATGTGATAACAGGGGCAAGCAGCATAGGTCCAAAGGCGACGCAAGTTGAGACGGTGCCGAGGAGACGAAATTTGGCCCCCGCGTCTAGCTCATCTTCGCGAAGACGCTGCATTAGAGCTGCTATCTGTGTGCTCCTGCCTGATAGCTCCAACTCCTTGATTTGTGCAATCACGCTCGATGTAAGTTTCACACGGTTCTGCGTCTTCTGTGACCAGTCGCCTTGGTACTTTGCGGCAAACTTGCCAACGGCAACGGTGAGGCCAACGCAAATGCCCACAATGACAATTGGTGTCACGAATGCAGTCCCGATCTGTCTCTGCAGTAGCCATGCCGCGAGCGTGACCTCAATCGTGTTTGCCCACAGCTCATGAACGTTGTGAAGACCCCCATAGACGCGATTAACGTCCATGCTCATCACAGTCAAGACGCCATCATCCACTGTGGGTAGCTGGAGACTCTTGTCATAGATGATATGGCCAAGGGTCGCGCGAAACCTGGTCAGGACTCGGTACTGGCAATACCAGTACATGGACGTGGATAAAGCCAATCCAGAGTATATAAGGATACTCGCCCCGATGAGCCCCACGCCAATGCTCCCAACGGACGATGCATCTTCTTGGAGAAAACTAGTAAGCCGCTGAATGAAGAACGGTTGACAAAATGAAAACCCGATCAATAGTAGCCGTGCTGGGACTGGCTGAAGAAGTGATGGCCCTACGGTTTGCACGAGGCGGAAGAGCAGCGCCAGGCTGCTTAAATCAGGTTTCAAAGAGCGACCGGACAAGTTGTTAAAGCCATTGAGCGGGTTGCTCACCGAGAGGCGCCTGTCAAGCGGATACATATCATCCGGCTTGAGAATTTTCTTTGAGCCCTTGTAAATCAAGGGGTTAAGCCAGTAGAAGAAGGCGAGCGAGAACATGCCGCTGGTTTCTTCAGGGCTTGTATCCGCGTGCGTTTCATGGCCTCGTAGCGAGTGGCATTTGGGCATGGTTTCCACAAGAATAACGGTGAACTGCAAGACGGTCTTGGCCGTCAAGATGGCAGTGTATGAGCGCCCGCCAAACTCGAGCCACCATGTCCTTGTGCGAGCGACATCAAACAAGGTCGTTGGAGAAAGGTAGAGAGTGATGAGGATGGAGGGACGTTGGCTCTTCATGTGTTCAACGTTGGAGAGAAGCAGGAGTTGCAGGGCCGCCACGCTGGACATGGCGCCTGCAGCGATTGCTTTGTTGTTGACGGGATTCTTTGGCCGCCATGCAGCAGCCAGAGCTAGCATGGCCAGATTCAAGGCGACAAGGGCAACCAGGAAGGCCTTCGGATGCCGGTTAGCTGCCTAGCCAACCCATTCATTGCAAACTACTTGAGATGTAGACCTACTGATTTCAGCCATTGGGTCGCGTGACGTTTCACTTTGGTGTTTTGGCGTTTAGAAAGTACCCAGAGTCGTGGCGTTGCCAAGACGATGAAGCACGCCGAGGGTAATATCGACAAGATAGTTTCCTCAAAAGTGATGGTGAAGTCAAAGTCGCCGCGACAGCCCACGACAGCTGGGCCGATCGAGTTATCACCCAAGCATGTCGACATGATTCGACCTGTCTATGCCGTTGACGAGGCTCGTATCAGACTCTTGAAGTGTGTCGGTCTGGGCAGCTTTGACGTTGGCGGACTTTATAAGGTTCTACCCGGCCCTCGGCCAGGCAAACAGTGCACATGAAGCAAAGCGAATCGAGCTTGGCAGGCAGATGGCGCCACGTACTGACAGGCATTGGAGTCTGGTCCAACGTTCATGTTCCTTTTCTTGTCGTCCCTGCCGCCTCCCGGACATGAGCGCAGCGCAGCCTCGCAGCTATTTTAGGCAGGTGAATCAGCCATGGGACAATAGACAACTAGGTTACCAAGACGATGACGAATTCAATACCGGACCGCTTTCGTGATGTTTTTCAGCGAGTTGGAGGAGGCGGCCGATACTCCGTCCCGCGTCTTGCCCCTGTGATTCTCGGCATGAGCCTCATCGCGCTGCTCGGTGCCCTCGTCGGCTGGTTCGGCACCCATAAGCTGTCCATCAACAAGCTAGCCGCCATATCAAGACAAATTCAGCAGGCTCAGGTCATGGAGAAGCTGTGCGGTGAGACACCGGCCGAGGCGCGGGCCCGGGGCTGCTACTTGGACGTCATCTCGTTCTGCTGGCTGCCGGAGCGCTGCTACGACGCCGAGCTGTCGCAGCACTTGACCGGGTGAGAATGGTTCATGGATCCGAATCGCAGGCAACCCCTGACGCATCAGCGGATCATGACGGGCGAGGACGCGGGCCTATACGTCAATTGGGAATACCACCTGCTGCACTGCACATGCATGTGGGAGAAGATGCATCGCGCCTTGATGGGTCCCCACGAGAAGATGGCCATCGACAGCTACAAGGGTTCGTATGAGCATACCAAACTTTGCGGCCACATGTTGACGTCGGACAGAGACGTGCAGCTCCATGTCATCAACACCATCATCTTGGTCAAATATAAACGTTGAATGATAAAATGATTTGTGCGTGTCCTCGGGTTGATCCGAGAACAATGCAGCCTTGGAATGCAGGACGACCTTTGTTTGGAGCACTAGTATTCTGGTTGCCAAACCCGTGTACCAGACCCTTCTGCCGCGATTCCTACGACAGGTGGAACATGAATTTGCCGCGAAGCGGGTCGCCTCGTGCGATATGATGACAAGACTCTCCCGGAATAACTGATAAAGAAGCAGCTTCCCTTCACTCAGTTGAGATGAATTTACACAATTCCCGGCTGCTGAGCACAGCAGGGCTCCCCGATATAGGAGTATGTTTCTGGTTTATATTCATCACAAGAGGGAGCGCAGGTAATTGTACATCCGGCAATGTCGTAGATACAACACTACACGGAGCCAGGTACTTCGTAGATGCTACATATTGCTGTGATACACAGTCGTTATCTTCCCATATTGCAACAGATATGTGTTACTCATCTCCATCTTCACTACTATTATCGTCGTCGTCGTCGTCGCCGTCCTTCTCCTCAACCTCACTTTCCGGGCCCTCTTCTTCACTATCCTCCGCACCGTCTGGCCGAGGAATCATCACATATCCCGCCAAACACGTAATGCGATTCTCCGACTCAAATGTGCCAGCCAATTTCCCAATTGGATTCTCGCCCGTCTTATCCTTCGTAGCGGCCGCAACCAAATCCTTTGCTTGTAGTGTCCACACCCGGACTTTGCCCTCACTGCTTGCTCCCACCAAGTACAACGTCCCCTGGTTAACCTCGCTTGGCAAGATCACGATATCTTTTATCCGGCCAGATATGCCCTCTGCTTTCCCACCTACAAAGCCTACCAACTTGGCACTGGACAGGGTCCCCTTCTTCCCATTGACTTCCTCTGGCGGTGATAAATCGTCCTCCTTGGTGGAAAAGAAGAGTATCCGTCCATCTTCGGTAGCGACCGCCAGAAGCGACCTTTCGTCGGCGCTGACATAGGTAAATTGATGGACCTTGGTTCTCTGCCCCGTCATAAGGCGACATTTGGGCACGCTGTCCATCCCAAAGACCACCACGTCACGGTCGAACCCTACGGCAAATTCATCCGCACCATCGACATTTCCCCAGACGACTTTTCTCCCTTCCCCTGTAGAATGCCGTCCCTCTCCAATCTCCTGCAGCATGTCCTTGCCGAAGCCCAACACACCGGCCTTCTTGCCAGTGACCAAATTCCATAAACGCATGCATTTCTCGCCCTTGGACACACTGATCATCAACTTCATACTAGGATGAATGGCAAAGTCATTCACACCCGAAGGCGTTGCCCCAAATGCCGCCGTATCACCACTCGGTCTGCCTTGAGCCTTGGGAATAGGCGCCTTGATGGTACTCAATACAGACCAGTCCCTTGTTCTGGCAATCGCAATGGTAGAGTCTTCACTGGCAGTGAGAAGTTTTGATCTCGACGGGAAGCGAAGCGCAGTTATTGTCGAAGTATGGTGGAACAAGGTCCCCAGTTCTCTGTTCTTGGAATTCTCAAGAATAGGCCGCGGCGCAATCTTGGCGAGAAGATCTTGGTTTTTCCGACTAGGAGGGTGCGCCGATAAATTGAAGATGTTGATTCGCTCGTCCGTGCTTCCAGATGCCAAAAGCACCTTTTGTGTTTGTCCGGGGACCGCTGCGGAGGGAGGCGACACTGCCACGCATCGGATAGCGGAGTTGTGTGCGTTGAAGAGAAAGGTATCTGCAAATTCGGCCTTGTCGTCGGAAATGGTGGCAGTTAAGCCGTGCAGAACTTGATCATAAGATCCGACAATGATCTGGATGGTTTCGGGATGATGTGGTGAGGACGGTTTAGATTTCGGGTTGGTGTCGGCTGCCTTGGATTTCTTGGACGGGACAGGGTTAGCTGCGGCGGAATCGTTTCCGTTCACGGCTTGTCTCTTCCTTTTAGCCATTTTACAGTCTTGTGATTAAATGCTGGTTGATAAACTTGATATAAGTTGGCGATAGGTGGTTGATGGTGCTACTCAAGAAAAAAAAATTGGGCAGCGTTGATAAGATAAGAACTTAAATAAAGTGGGCCAGACATGTACCAAAGCAAGACAAAACATTCGACAATTCAGCATGTGATCACAACATTTGGTTCGTTTATTATTTAATTAAATGGCATTAATTCGTAAATGTGCAGAGCACTGATTCATTTATATGCTTATGCCATCATGAAAACTACATTTATATTCTAAACCTCGCAGCGGCTGTTCATCGTCGCGATTCACTGCGGCGACTGCCTTGAGATTCCGTCTCTATTGAACTTAAACTGGGAAATCGCTTTGCAAAATCTTCGATATAGTCTTCTTTATCCTGGATTGACATCTCAAGAACAGGTTGACCTGGGAGGTCTACCGCAATGAGGTGCTCGGGCTGGGCATGTTGGCTCTGCTTAATTGGTGACGGCGGACGATGTCCTGTGGGGAAGCTATTTAGATGAGTGGGCTTTTTCTTCGGCGCAGGTGGCTTTTGCCCCGTAGATCTTGGCTGGGATGGTGCTGGCATTGAATGGGATGTAGAAACCGTGATGGACCCGGAGTCATTGGAAGGGGTCGCATTTATTGGTCTGGGGGCCATTGACCTGCGAACGATGTTTGGCGTTGGTTTCTGACCGGAAGGCGCCTCTGACTGCTCATCGGTGTACTTGCCATAACCGTGGGCAGTCCTTTGAACAGGAGATGGTTTCTGCTCCTCGCTGAGCAAGCTCTGCACGCGGCTTTGAATCGTGCTGGCTTTGCGTTGTGAAGCCCCCACGATCTTGGGGCCAGGAACCGGTTTCCCAGATGAGCCAACCCGGTTCTTGTATTCAGCTTGAGCAGCAGCAACTCGTTTTTCTTCTTCTTCAAGCTTTTGACGTTCGAGCTCACGCCTCATTTCTGGCGTCATGCTGTCCTCCTCAATATCGATCAGGGCATTGGCACTGGGACCAACAGCTGGTTCCTGCTTCGGTGGAACTTTTGCATCATGGTGAGATGTCGACTTTTGTGGCAACTCAGGTAACTCAGGCAGCTCAGACTGAATTATACCTACCGATTCCTGAGGTGAAGCGCCTTCAAACCGGTTGAAAGCGTCACCATATTTGCCTGCTAATTTCTTAAGACCAGAAGCTGTTAAGGCAGTCGATCTCCGATTGATATCCGTTTGTTCATCTTGAGTTGTCACTGGGGAGTTCGTCACGTCTAGCAACAGGCCCTCTTCTGTTTGCTTTCTGCCCTCCGCCCTGATTGTCTGAGGTGCAGCTGCCGGCCGCCGCTGTGGATTTTGCATTGATGACTGCACTGTCATCCTAGAAGGCTTGGCAGCCAATTCCCTTTCCCGCAGGAAATCCAGAGTGCTGGACTCAAAACTGGTGCTGGCGGGGCGTGGCCGACTGACATGTGTTGATGAGCTCAACGTAGAATCCGTCGACTGGGCCTGAATTCGATGATCCTCCAAAGACGGCCGTGACGATAGAGATGGTCGTCTGAGGTATTGAGGGCGAGCGTGATGAGGCAGCGAATCCTGGTCTGCGCGGGACGGGGTACGTTCAGGGAGCTTCTTCTCTGAATGTTTCTCAATTTGGGGCGTTGAGGCTCTGGAGGAAAACTCAGATGTCATCGTTCCAGTCGAGACATATTTTGCGTTAGCCTGAGCCGAAATGGCCCTCAGCTGGGGGTTACTGCTGATAATCGAGGAGGCCCGACTGGGTTGGCTCTGCTCTGTTGTTGCGGGCGCTGATGACGTGTTCAACGGAGATCGGTCAACAGGAGGAGTGGAAAGGTGTTTAGGCTGCTGCGAAGGGGGAGTGAGAGAGTGAGGTCGTGGAGAGGGAGCCGGTTTCTCTGGACTCTGTTGTAGCGAGGCAAATGCTTCGTCGGCCAGACGCTCTGCCACGTGTTGGTCGGCCTCAACGTGTTGAGACTCTGGCGAAATTGCCGATGAGTCGAAGTCAAATTTAGCTCCCTTGTCGTGAAGAAGAGAGAACTGGTCCAAAGTCGGGAAACGCGCAGATAGCTCATCGGCCCCGGGAGCTTTTTGACTACTCGTTGAATCGAGGGCGGCAAATGGATCCCCTACAGTGACTTTTCGCGACGGGTCTTGCTTTTGTGGCCCGGGTGAAACAGTAGGACGGCCCCGTCGCATGGGCACAATATCGGGGATATTGTGCTCTTCTTGCTCGGGTGGCGAGTATACTGCACCCACGACGGCTCCTTGATGGCCTTGTTGAGACTTGGTGGGTGATGGTTGACTTGCAGGTCTCGACTCTCGTTTCGCTTGGCTCGAATATATCTTGAGGCCACGTTAGGTATGAACAGTAACATCATTAAGGGAGCGACTTACATCGTGTATGGGAACTTGTCTGCCCTGCATGGCACATGCTTCCTTTAGGACTTGGTAAATGTTCGGCCGAGACTGCATGTTCTCTTTCAACATAGACCCTTGAGGCTTGTTAGTATTTTTGGCGTAACAAAATCTTGCTGGAAATCAAGACCAAACTCCATACCAATAAGCTTTTTCAGTCTATCCGAGAAGACAGGATGACTAGGATACTTGAAACTGGCGTTCAATATAGCCAACTGTCCCTGATCTTCAAAAGGAGTTGTGTAATAGCATAATTTATACAGCAACACACCCAATGCCCAAATATCCGACTTTTCGTTGAGCGGTTGCTTTCTATATACATCAACCATTTCGGGCGCTCGATATTGCAGTGTTGTGTGTTTCTGAAGGTCCTCGTCCATAAGTCGACACTCGACTACGGTTGTCGGTGCAGCTCGTGGAGGGGCGGAGGATCCGAAGTCGCATACTTTAAACCGCTTCGACGACCCGCGGTTCACAATGAGGACATTTTCAACTTTCAAGTCTCGATGTAGGAGGGCAGGTTTGAGATAATGCATACAAGCAACGCCCTCAGCGATATCGGAAAAAATGTGCAATATCTCGGGTTCCGTCAAGCGATGCTGCAAGCGTGTGTTCATAAAGTCAATCAAGCCGCCACCATCACAATACTCCATGAGGAGGAAAACCTCATATCCGCCACCTCTCAGTTCTGAAGCGTGGGAATCGATATATGTTACGATCGGTCGGTGTCCTTTAAGTCGTTTCATGGTCTCAACTTCGGTACGCATACCCCGCAGCGTTTCTTTGTCGGGAACAGCAACACGCTTAAGAACCGCCAGATCGGTACCGTCGATGGGTTTGGAGAGTTTGACCAAGTAGACATGTGCAAATCCTCCTTCTGATAGGTATTTCTGAATAACGACTCGATGACTGCCAACCTGGATCTTGGTGCCAGGGGAGAATGTGCCAGCGGGCGCACCGCCGTGCGACGGCGCAGCCTGCGGTGCGTATCCTCCGTGCTGTGCATGTCTCGAGCCCTGGTGAGGTGCGGCTTGATAGCCGTAGGAGGCCATTATGTCGAGATTCGAGCCGGTGTTTGGCCTCGCAAGCAAATTCGAGATTGCCTGCACTGGAGGGAAGCGAGGCAACTCAGCCAAACCAACAGTAGGATGACGCGGACGGCCGGGCTGGTGATGAGTTCCCTGTCGTTTCAGGAGAGTAGCGTCGAGCCGCACAAGCAGACGATCAAGACATTGGCAAAGAGGGAATGATGGAAAAAAGCTGGTGTCGTTTTTCAACACGGGACAGTCTCTTCAGACTGGATTGATGGTGTTGACGTCGACGCACAGAGTTGGGTGTCACGCATGAATGATTGGCACAAGACGCCTCAGCCTCATTGGTCTTGGGGAGCCACATTTCGATAAGCGTATGGGAAACTTTGTGGACCAGTGGGCAAATTTGCTCAGGCACCAGTGGGCCGGCAACTCGGGGCCTTGAGATAGACCAAACCCGTGGCTTGACTTCCCCGGCCTTGTTGAAGAGCGGGACCTGAAATCTGGAGATGCCAGCTTTTGGAAGAGTTGAAATTTGTCGATGGACTGAGGCGACGCACAGTGTCGTCCAACTTGGGCTTAATTGCCTGTCCATGCCAGTGCCTCTGGTATTTGCTGCGAAAATCTACTCTGGGGGAAAAATTACCCAGGAATTTGACCAGGTTAGGTACCTCCCAAGACCTAACTACTTACGTACTTATCTATACGTCGCGCTCTATATTCTACTATTGACACTACAGTATGTATATTAGTGTGTATCGACTTCTTGGTCGGCAAATATATTCTGCCGCAGCCTGTGGTAACAATTGATGAAAATGAATGCAGCCAAGACAGCGATGGCACTTGCCTTACAACTTCCGAGCTGTCAGTGATCACGGCAGCTCAAGTTTGTCGAAAGCTTCACACGTGACTCGCCTCTCCCCATTCATCTGTCGCAACCTCGTGAGTCTCATGAACAACTACGCCAATCATCTTGCCCCCTGAGAGACATTCGTGCTCTTTTTTAGCTTTGAAAAGCCTCCCACGACCATTTTCCTGCAATTCGTATCAACTAGGGGCCTGACTACGCTCCTTACACAACAGGCCGCGTCAATGTTTCCCTGATACCAAGTGCATATTACGTTCCAGCTCATGAAATGATAACTCAATCGTCCATCATCATCAACCACCGGGAGGATAGATACTTCAGCCTCCGTTTTCAAGTCTCGGTAAAATGCATAGAGGTCCATTGGATCCATGGTGGACCTGATATGGCGCTTCACGTTTATTCACTAGCTGCAGTTGTCGTTATAGTTGCCTCTGATTAGAGCTCTCAATAGTTGGATATCAACCATCGACAATATTGCGCAGAGGATGGAGTAGGACTGGAATCACGACGATGAAATTTTCTCAGGCTCTCGGCCTCCGTCACAACTTCTCTCATCCTATTCTTCTCTGCCGGTCTGAACTTGAACAGCAATCCGTGGCTCTTTTTTGACGTCGAGCCCTGCTGCTCTAAGGTAGACATCAACATACTCTCTAAGTTCCACCCGCCGCTGGATTTCCTTGCATCTCTATCTCGGCTGCCTCTGAAACAATGTTGTAAACAACCTTGTTGAGCGAATCGTCACCTACGAGGATGTCAACTTCGTCTGGGGCCAGTTCGCTTTCTGCTTTCACAACGTCTCGGCAGCTACAACAACATTGGCAGAGGTTTTGATGCGTGGGTGGTAATGGCATTCGACAGGTCCTCAATGTTCGCCCGAATAGGAGATAGACTTGCCTAGCCGATACGGTTTGTGCTCGGGTGAGTTGTGCCAGCTTGACCCTTGCATCATTCCTGCCCTTCGTAGAACGGCGGTTGAAAATACGGGTATTGACTGATCACAACTCACCCTCTAGGACACCGTGAACGGACGACTCATTTCTGTTATGTTCAATCACACTGTACTCCCCTTGGCAGTGACTGCAGGAGGAATGACATGGGCAATATATACTTTGATCTCACTTGTCCGGGTACCACCGCGTTCCAAAATGGTCTCGCCGTACTACCACCGGGACTTACACTATCACTTCGCCATTTGCACAACGACAACTTTATTTCAACGCCTGGCAACATTCTCCTGGCACAAATCGATGACAAAACTTAGGCAGCATGAACAGGAAGTTGTGGCGGAGGGAGCACCAGGAATGCTAATCAATAATAATGGCATCAGGAGCCACAGAAACGGAATTGATGGCAGCAAAGCCATTATTGGGGCCATTTCCGGCGGCACGGTCGAGGGCATTGCCGTCATCGGTATCGACATCCTGACCATCTTCCACGCCTCACAGAATAGGGAGAAAGGGTAGTAAGAGTGGTTTCACGTAACGTAGAACCGCAAGGCCCAGAACAAGGCGACTATATGCAACCATCACTGCCACCAATGCCCTAGCAGCCCATCCAGCGGCAGTACTCCGTGCCAGTCATGCCGATTCTACAAGACGTGTCTAACAACCTCACCAGCCATACGGACCGCAACCCGGACATGGGATGCACATGGGAGTTGGTCGCAATGCCGGGTCATGATAAGGATCTAGGAATCTTGCCCCCCATGGCACTTTTCGGCTTCCTTCAATCTCCGCCCCGTCCTCATGGGCAAATTCTTGATGAGGCTGGTGGGTAGATACGAGAACCATTGTGATTGGATGCATGAAAGCCTTGAGAATGGGCGGGTTTCTTTTGGCATTTTGAAGCTTGCGGCTGAGTTTCCTCAGAAGATGCGCCTTGATGACATGTCGCAATATCAAGTGGTGAGATGGCTGTGTGTCTATTACCGTCGTAGTATAGCAAGGGCTATACATACATATGTAAGGCGATTAGAGGCTTCTCCAAGTGGCTTTCGCTCCCCCCATGGTGAGCTGGCTGCTCAACAGGGCGGTCGTTATGCTAAGCCGATGTGACACATCGCATTTATCGATCTAAAGTGACGATTCACAAACCTGGAAATCAGCAGCCAGGGGGTCTTCTCGCAGGACCGGACGTCTTTTCCGCCTCGACGTGATTCGATACTGCCATGCAGTTGCAGCCGTTGATGCCGTCGACTTGTCATTCTTTATTCACCAGAATTTTGACTCCGTATTAGCACAGCTTTTCCATTGGTACCTACAATGGAAACGTCGAAAGCGCCAGACAGCAAATTTGCTGACACCGGCTGTATTTCTTAACCACTCGACTCCGTGCTCCGTATAAGTTGAGCACCGAATGCTACGAAGCCTCTTACAATCTTCAACATTTCTGAGCCACAAAACCTTGACACGATGAATTCAAAGCAACCGTCAGGGCAAGGACAATTACCCACCTGCCCAAAGCCATCAGCGTATGCGCCGTCCGCGCCGTTCAATGGCCAAAGTAACCGGTCAATTCCGCCCCGTGCCTTCATCAGACCCAAGCGGGCGATGATCAGTGTCGCATGCCAGAATTGCAGGCGACGAAAGGCCAAGGTGAGTTGGCAAACCTTCCCATATACTGTTTCCGAGATACGAGTGGATGCTTACAGACGTAGTGCAATGGCTCTAGACCAACCTGTAAACGCTGCCACAGTAGAGGCGAGTCGTGTACTTATGAGCTTGAAAGGGGTAAGGCATTGACTAGCGTGCTCAAGCAGAAGCGAGACGACTTGATGAATGAGAATGAACAGTACAGGGAGCTATTTCAGCTGTTATGTACTAAGCCCAAGGATGAGGCGTTGGAATTATTTCGTCGCATCAGAGAGTCTGGCGAACCCTTCATTGTCTTTGAAGCTGTGAGACAAGCTGAGGTGCTGTTCCCGAACCATTCACCGTCCGAAACTTACGGCAGTTATCAGCTGGAACGGCTGGATCGCCTGGCTCTGGATGGGAGCATTATCAAGGTTCCAGCTCGACCGTGGACGATTGTTGCGGGCGACGGGCTTGTGTCTGAGCTCATCACAAATCTGTTTCATTTCAATGGTACCTACCTTCTACCTGTTCTCGAAAAAGACGTCTTTATCGAGGATATGAAGTCTGGACATGTAATTGGTTCTAGATATTGCACACCGTTTCTAGTCAATGCCATCTGTGCGGTTGAAAGTGTTAGTTCCCCTGATTCTGATCCTCGACCATTGAACTAATTTAACAGAACTTTTCTGAGAGAGCAAAGCAATTTGGAGTCATTGCGAAACAAAACCTCTCAGATCGCTTTTTCGAAGAGGCCAAGCGGCTATATGAACGGGAACAAGGTTGTGCGTCGATCCCCAACATCGTCGCCCTCGTCCTTATGTACCTCACGATGGCCATCAAAGGTAGAGACAAGATATCCCGAATATATCTTTACACGGCGTATGCTCTGCTCAACAGGCTGTCGTTGGAGGAGAAGTTTCAGGCCCTTGAGAGCAGACCTGGTAGCCAAAAGGAGAAGTGTATCATTAGCCGTGTGCTTTGGGGTTTGTACATTATGGAAAGGTGAGTTGTAAATTCCGCGAAAAAAAAACAACAACCATGAGCTAAGCACTACCAGTCGAATTGCCTTTTACTATTCCCATCCGTCCATTTTACCCGCGCCAAAGGTGCCTAAACCGCCCGACGAATTTGGTACTGCCAACATGGATGTTTTGGGCCGTTTGTATGATGAAGCCACCAGTGCTGTCCCCTTGGTTCCGGGCATCAATACCATAAATTGTAATTTAACTGAGCTCTGGAATGACCTAATGCAGTACATCTGCCAAGGCGCCATCACAGGAAGTGATACCGACTTGCGTAGCCGCAAGAGCTTCTACTGTAGGTTGTTGGCATATGTAGCTCAACTACCGCCCAGATTTCACTGTTGGAGCAACATGACACCGGAAACATGTATGAAAAGGTATGATAAATCCCAAAACACGCACTCGTATTTCCTTAAGCCCTAACCCAAAGCTGGCAAGAATGCACGAAACGGAAATCATCTTCACTATTCTTCGCGACGTGCCCCTCGACACACCGTTTCACAACCTCTACGATCTCCCTGGGACAACTGTCAGAGACATATTACGCAAACGCTGCATCGCCGACGTGGAGCTAATAGGGGTTTACATGAACAAATGGCAATTCCTGGGTGGTCTTGCATATCGCCACATACACCTTTGCATGTATGCCCTCATCCCGTTCCTGGATGATTCGGCCACTCATCCGGCCTTCTCAACAGCCTGTATGATTGCCCAGCAGGGCATTAGCCGCATGAAGGTCTTGGGGTACCTGCTGCAGGGCATACAAGCGTTTGCATGGGCCATGGGGAAGACCATTCCCGAGTCTGCGCGGCGGTACCTCCACGGCTGGGGTGTGGAAGCCATAGAGCCAGACTTGCCCGTGTCGTTTGTGCTTCCGCAGCCAGACAATGTCAAGGAAGCTCTTGCGAGGAATTCGGGGTCGCTTTTGGAGGAAGTGGAGAGCCAGCTTGGCTCATTGATTGAGCTGTGGGCGAGGCTGGGGCAATAGCTGGGCAATTGGAGAGACAAGTACGAGTTCCATGAAGTATGTGTACGGTGGTGAGAAAAGGGGCATTATCATACAGCGACTAATGATTATGTTTTATCTGCTTACACATGTCATCATGCGAACATACACTTATATAACAATCACTGTTGATGGGACTCTGTTGCTGCGGCAATTCGGCTCTGAAGTTCTGGGCGAACCGGGATCGCCAGCGTATGCCTACTCCTTACAGCTTTACGGATCCGATGTTTGCAGTCTGACAACGGTACGGGGCTGCAGCCAAAATATCGAAGACATTGAGCGCTGCACTGACCATCTCTACCAGGCGTGCTTCGCTGCCGGACCAGAGTGTGCCCTACAAAGGGACACAGAAAAGCCACGTCACGATAGCGAGTGCCGAGTAGACGCTCTGATTGAGCGCCTCGACACAGATGCCGTCCCCAGACCGACGGAGGGCGGACTGGAAGTGGTCATCAGCGGCGCATATGTCTCATCTTCTCGCAGGTTGTCTAGTTGCCGCTGGACTTTTTCGAGAGCCTCTCGTCGACGCCTGCGTAGTCCATATACGTTGTTGGCCAGGCGGCCCCGGGGGGGGGGGCAGAGCCAGCCTGGAGAACCTAATGTTCGATTTATCAATGACGGCCGGCTGCTCTTCCTTCACGGCATCGTCGGAACCAGGAACTGATGCGTTAGCAGGAGGCGCTCACAAGGCCGTATCATATCCTGGGAAGGGGTCCCGGCGGGCTACCGTGGTCCAAGAAGACTTGCTTGCCATTTTGCCCTCGTTGGTGGCTATTGTGTTCCTGTCGTTCTTTGTCCGGGTTCTGAACATCGCTGGCTGTTCATAGGGGAGTCGTATGTTTACGGCGCGGCGCCATGCATGGCGAGCTGTGGTCCTCTGACAAGGCCGCGAGCTTGTGTGGTGAATGAGGAAAAGTTGAACACGAGCGCAACCCGTGTTGATCTTGGTAAGAACTGATGGAGAGGACGGGGCTGCTTTCATTGCAAGCGAGCTTGTGACCCCCCCTTCCGTCGGCGCTTTGTTCCTGTGCAGGACCCAGTTTCCATCTGATGCAGACGGGATGTATGATGAAGCACCAAAGGATGAGGTCTGCTGACCATTTGATTATGCTCAGAGTCCGGTGAAAATTGACCAGGCCCAGGACTCGTTTGTGTCGCTTCTGATGTTTTGGAGGTGGCCCTTTGTTCAAACCGGTTGCGTGGTGAGGCTGTGGCTGCGACGGCGGATAGTTGATACACAGCATCTGAACAGGGACAGGAGATGTCATTATTCATGACTTGATGCAGCTCCTCGCTCTGCCCTAAGGCTATGAATATTACTGGGGATTCAGGTATATAAACCTCGACGGGGAGCCAGACATGGGCTCATTCTTCATCTCCTTCATCTTCACCTTTGTTTTCAACAATTCAATAAACATTGGTCTAGGATTCGAGTTTCCCTCGGCACAACATCACACAGCCTACAGCTTACAGCCTGCATTTGCGCTGGGTCTTCCTGCTCTCCATCGTCCACTCTCGACAGATATTTTTGGTCCGGACTGACGCAGCAACTGGGCTGGCTTTTTCTCACCTTGGCGACTACCACCAACAAACAAAGGCGTAGCCATCTAGTGCCAGGATGAAACCCAATAATGAGCATGATGCAACTTTTGCGGAGGGCTTGGAGAAGCTGGTCGCCAAAAGTTTAGGTGCTGTCCTTTTTTTGAAAGCATATGATGAACATAATGCTCCGGCAGTGTACTTCTTGGACGGATACTTTTGCGGCCTGCTGGCGAAGAATGGGATGGACGACCATCTCTCCGTAAGTGCTAACCCCAAACTACAAATAATACGTCAAGTCGATAGTGCCACTATGACTAATGGCGTCTACAGGTAGCCCGCACCGCAGAGAGCGTGCATGTCATGTACGCAACCGAAGTGTATAAATGTTGCAACACGGCGTTACTCGACTCTGTAAGTACTAATTTCAGTCATAATCGTGCTTTCGACCGCAACATCGTGGTACTAATATCGTCTAGATTTCCTGGCTTAAAGTTCTAAAAAGGAGAGCGGACGGAGCAGTAGAGGAGGAAGAACTAGAGGAAGGAGAACTGGAGGACTGGGAGGGCCTAGAACTCCGTGCTATTAGGAAAGACCTTATTCAAGGGTTCCTTCACCGGCTTCACAATGACAGCGATGAGCTGCTGAGCAATGTAGGTACCAAGTTCAAGTACGAATCTTCCTTTTCCCACCGCAGCACGGGGATACTAATCCCGTCCAGATTTTCTATGAGTTCGCACATGGAATTCCCCACCAGATTAGTACTTTAAAACGTACACAGGAGCAGGAGCAGGAGCAGGAGCAGAAGGACTCCGAGACTACATGTACCGCACCGCAAACGAGCTTTGTAAGTACTAATGCTACATGGCAATGTCGAGTTGCATGTGCTTTCTTACCGCAGCATAGTGGTACTAATCCCATCCAGACACCAGGACATCCTATCGATCTTCAAGGTGAGCCCGATGTGGTAGGAATGCTATTTGATGAGATTCGCAAATTACGCCCCAACGACGATCCATCACGACCAAGACTTGCAGCTTTGATAGCAAACCCTGCGTAGGCAAGAGCAATTGGTGAATCGACGCCAGTGAATCGGGTGACACATACGATCATGCTCGCATCTCTCAAGTCTCTTCATTTTCGACGCCATGTCGAAAGAGACAATGGATTTGTCTAGATGTACCCTTCGAATCATGACTTGCTCATTGCTCATACCGGGGAACATACGGAGGTCCTGACTCGCTGCTCAGAGCCCATCTGTCGCATCGTCGACTGCCTTCCCGAGCACGACGAAACACTTGCCACCCAGCACAAAAGGAGGATACATCCGTGTTGGTCATTGTGCACATTTTGAATCATCCATCTCTTTTCAACATGTTGTCGTTTTTATACTTTTTTGTCCGCGCTGTCTTGTGTTGGTTGGTTGGTTGGTTGGGGACCAGACTGCTCACACCATCACGACATTGAGTTTACATACGAAGCTCCGGTCCCATCGACTTTGCTTCCAGGGGAAATTTGTCAGAGCGGCAGGACACGTATTTGTGTATCTGTGAAAAAAACCCGTCTGGCCGAAAAGAAAAAAAAAAGATTACAAATACCGCCCGCTTCGGTGCGAAATATCACCGCATCCTCCACCAGAATTCACCATCGATTTCTTCAGCACACCTGAAGTTTACAAGATGCATCTATGAGCCTTGTGGCAACTTTGCATCGAGCGCTCGCAAGGACCGGGAGAATGTGGGCGGAATGGGGCATATAGTACAGGGACGGTTTGGAGCCGACAGCAACTTGGGACTTTGTCACACGTCTTTCTTTATTATTGATGTTTTGTTTTTGAGACTCTTTAGTTTTTGCAACGAAATAAAACCGACACTCATTTGGCTTAGCTATCCGGTTCTTGAATCTTGGCTTGGTGTTTTCGAAATCGCTCCAACGCATACAGTGGACGGTAATGGTGACTCCAGTCACTGCCCAATAAGTATCGCTTTCCGGGGACTTGTGACATGTTCACCCGTATATGTATTCATTTTGATAAAGACCCGATCGTGCCGCCCATGTCTCTCGGCACCCATCTTTCGTCAACTTGCCTGGTATATTCAAGCTTTGCTGTCGGCATGCAGTCAATTCGAAGGCGTAATAACCCAGTGTCACAACTAGCAACAGTATTTCTATACACAGTTTGGCTGGCGTAGCGCTTACATTATGTTTTGAAGTTGGCCAGGCCGGGACTGCTGTTCACTGTAGGGCATGAATTCGAGGCTAGCAGGCACCGAAATCTAACCCGCGCCCTGGCTATCTTTGACGGACGTCGAGATATGAATAAGTAGAGGAAGCTTGCGCCCAAGGCTATGCGAGTCCTAGTGAATAGAATCTTTCAACATGGACTCTGGGGTCCCAGATTTCCCCAAGCTGCTCCATAGGATCAATAGGACTTCGTGCCATTGGTGAAAAAAAACCCAGCAATTTCAGACGCAGAGCTGATGAATGACGGGTGATTTCCCCTAGCGGATAGTCTACCCGAATGAGTGAGACGCATGTCGATGGGTGGCAGAAGGCGTAGAGTTTCGCATTACTATAAAAAAAGATATGTTTAGTCAGTAAATGGCTCTCAACGGTCAGATGTATAAGAAAAGACACTGGTAATGAATGAAGTCAATACCAAGACCATAGCTCACGCTCATACCTCAACTTGGCCACTCACCGTCATTCTTACAACTCGCAGTCGCCAAAACCCGACATCTCCCAACTCCTACAACAGACTTGCCGCGCCCATCGTTGCGCAGTAGTCGAAGCACCAAACCCCCAATTGCAACGTTCTGTCAGCGAGCTCAAAACAATCCCCAGCCAGGGCGGCTAATCAGAGGCTTGCACCATTCCTCCGTCATCAAGGGCAAAACGCATAAAACGCCCTCGGAAACCGGCCGAGTCCCATGCCCACAGACCGGCCGACATGACCGTCTGGCCGGCGCACAGCGTAGGCAGCACGACTCATAGCCACAATGACAACGCAGCACCCGCAAGTCCGGGCCTTGTACGGAGTAACCAGTCATGATTGGACGTAGACGCGCACAACCAGGATTTTGTTGCTCCTGGATCGGCCAGGGACGTGTCTTGCACGCCTCCTGCGCTCCGAAGCCTTTTGCCCGCCCAACCACCCAGGGTCAGCGTCCGTGGGCCGGGACCGCCAGACTGTCGTCACCGGCGCCATGATGGATTAGGAAAAGGGGGAGGCTTGGTCGGTGCCGATGTTCCGAAAGGCCCATGGGACGATGGCAGGGGGCGCGAAAGCCCTGGACGTCAAAACCTCCAATCTGTGGGGGAACAATAACAAGATGCGACACTCGGCATCAAAAAAGCAAATGGCTGTCGTGGACACAGAAATAGGAACAATAAGTCTGATGGCTCGTTGTATGTGTGTGTGTGTGTGTTTTCGAAACTTGAAACGGGGTCGTTGGCAGTTGCGACGAGATATATCAGGAATCATGCGGAACCATCATTGTCCATCCGCACAAAAAATGACAACCATCGCGTCCCAAACGTGGCTTCACCCCACGATGCCACTGGGCGAATCGTCGGCCCAACTTGAGCTCCCGCACCACCCTGCTCCCTCTTGAAACGGTCAAGGGACAAAAGGCCGATTGTTGCGAGTGTGTGCACCAACACAATGATGCGTCTTCTCCATAAATATTCCGTCCCATCACTCTTGGAGCTGTACGAGCTCGGCAGTCTCGTGCCGACGCCACAGCACCGCCATGGCCAGAACCCATCCTCACCTCCCGTCATCCATGTAGTCCCGGCTGTAATTGGCATCGTACAGAGCTGATAAACCCCCGTACGAGTACCGATCACCAACCGAGTCTGGCAAGTCTGATACGTAGTAGTACCAAGCAGGCTGTGTCGTTCCCAACGGGAGGCGCGACGCCGCGAATCGAAGCTTGCCGCCATCCTTTCCGTCTTCCCAAACCAGACGCGAATAGTCCGAATTACGTAGAAGGGAAAGGGCCCCTGGCCAATCCGACCACCTGTTCATCCAGCTTTCTGATGTTGGTTTTAAAAGGCCCGTCATCCCACTCCCACGCGCTGTTTGTGTGCTCGAGTCTCCAACATCCATACGTCACGTCGTCATCGCTGCCCCTCCGCTTCCCAGACGCTCAATATTATAGCCTCGCTCGATAAGCCCTCATATCAAGTCAACTATGCCTGCTACGCAACAACAGATGACCCAGGAGCCTGCTCCCGCGGTCGTTCCCGAGTCCCGAACTAGCACTGAGCAGCCTGTACGTTCTGCGCCGCGAGCCTCGTTGTTTTGCCCGTGCCATTGTTGCCAAGTCGGCTCGTCCCGTTGGCCACATGAATAGCTATCAACTTACACCATGACCACAACATCTGTTGCGAACCCTCCGCTGACAGTCGACTTTGCAGCGCCCTGTTGAGCCCATGTCTGCTGACTCCATGCGCCTCCGAGGCGGCGGCGAGGAAGGCGAGGTAAGCTTATCCCATCTGTCTCATCCGTGACGCACTTCATCATCGCCTGGACCGGCCACGCCCGCTTCCACTTGCGACTGACTGCGGCGTGTCGTCGTGCAATGCCTGTCGGCATCCCCTTCCCCCTAGAAGAAAAAAAAAAAAATCGCGCTTGAGCCTTTACTTGAAGTACGAATGGGTCAATGCTGACCCAGAAACAGGCCATCTGCTGCGGCATTTGCGCCGGCCTCTGCTGCTTCGAGTGCTGCGAATGCTGCTGCTAAAAATTGACTTTGGTTCAATGTTCCGATATCAAGATGCGAGCTGAGTGTGGGGTTCCAGGAGTTGGCACTGGGGAGTCGCTGGGGCGAGAGGAGAGGAGGGGCTGTGCAAATGGCAGATGCATCATGTCTGCCAGATCTCAACCCAGGTCTGGCCCAACGACAGAGGCGAACGTTGCTTGCCCTTCGCATGGCGCCGGGGCAGAAGAAACAGGATACGGTTGATTATGCACTGAAATTATATCATGTAGCACCAATCCCAAAGCATCACCTCATTCACCTGACTGCTCTGGACCCAAATTCCCGAGTTCCAAGGTCTGAGATCCACCTGCACAGACAGTCAGATAACTGACAGCGGTGCTTTGATCCGGTTCTTCCGAGTTGGGCCGCACATCGAGGCCCTGTAGTAATTCTCGTCATATTATTATGAACATGGCTATTCCGTTGAGAAACGAATAGCGGCACCACAACCAATTGCCAGCTAGTCTGCATCATTCACGCCCTAGTCCTCGGATGTATCCCTACACCGCAATCTGCCCAAGTCTTTTGACAACATTCTCGTAAAATGTTGTCGATAGTTTCTCGGCCGCATCTTCACGCCCTTGGTGAAGTCCGAGTCTGTTCCCCCCACCAAGACAAGTCCTAACCGCACCCTCAAACTTTTCGCCCATCTCACCTCCAACATCTGCCATTCGCTCATCACCAAGCAACTCGTCTTGAATTTGTCGCAAAATTTCTGGCTTGCCCCGAGCCCTTCGCATGTCGATCTTAAGGATCTTGTCAACCGTCTTCCAATGAGCCAGTTCGACAAAGATGATTCCCAGACTGTAAATGTCAAAGCATTTCTTGGAGCGCTGCCTCTCCTTCCTCCTGTTTGTCTGCGTATCCGGGTGTCTATACAAGTCGTGCTCTGCATCATCTCCAGGCACGTCTGTCATCTCGTCCGAGCCCCCCGGGCGTGAATAGTCAAACCCAGAGAGATACGGTTGACCATAGTCGACGGTCCCGGTGCGAGTACGGAAGAAGAGAATATTGCGGCTTCGAAGGCCCTTGTGTAACCAGTCGACTGCATGAAGGTATAGGACACAAGTACTCAGTGCCGTTGCCAGTCGGGCCCGTTCTGTTACGCGTGGTTTTCGAACACGATCATCTTGAAGAAGGTTGTGGAGGGACACTGGCGGAAGTGTGGGATGTAGTGAATCATTGCAAGGCCGCTCAAATACCAGACCCAACCGCCTATCAAGAATATCGACATCCTCAGCAGGGATATCGGGGTCAGCTTTATCGAAGAACCCGAGACAATGTGGTGTTCTGAAAGCCTTGGGCTTCGGGCTGTGACTCAGCAGAGATGCCAATTTTCTCACTCGATCGATAATGTCCTCCTTCGATAAGGAGTCTTCGCGCAGCCCAGTTGTATCGTAGTCTTTCCACTCTATCCAGACCTTCTTCCTACCTGCGGGTGTTTTCATGAGCGCTTCACAGCGTGAAGCTTCCGATTCATCTACCTCTGAACCGAGCTCTATTAGACAGCGCAGAATCTGGATATTCCCTGGCTGAGATGGGTTTGCAAGTTCAAGGAATTCAGCCGCCGCTTTGTCTGCTTGAGAGGGCCTTCCAGTCTTTGGATCAAGAGTTTCGTTAAGTGCCTTGAACTTGGCAAGTTTAGATAATTGCATCAAGGCATCGAGACTTGCTTCCCTTTCCAACTTTGACAGGGGAGAAGCGGTCGGGAGTGAGGCAGCTCCCGCATCTAGCTGCGATTTCAACGCCAGCACAAGGTGGCTTAAATCTGCAACCTTGTGATGCAAAAGCAAAACTCCCCTATTCGTGTCTTCCACTGTGTGTCGGATTTCTACCTGCAGTGAATGATCCAATATATTGGTCATGTTGTCGTTTAAAGCGGAGAATTTGGACAATACCAGTTCAAAAGCGGCTTTATCGAATGACACCCATCGAAGCCTTTGATACCCCTCTTGGGATTTTTCCTTCCAAGCCGTCATCGCTTTTTTGATAAAGTCTCGCTTCCTATCCGATATGGGAAAGTTGGCCTGTTTCGCGTCTTTATCTGGCGCACCGACCAAGTTTTCGTCATCTCGATCCGTCTTTAGATTATTGTGTCTGCGCTGGTGACTAGTGAACTCGTCAAACAAGCATCGGATTTGTACCAGCATATCAAGCACTGTTTGGCGATGCAAACTGAATATGTTCGAGTTGAGGATCTTATCATGATTTTCAGATTCTAGATCCAACAAGCCCGAAGTTTCGCTCCAAGCAAAAAGACGCTGCTGTTCCATCCGAAGCCTCAAGTTGAGGTATTTACACTCGTCATTGTACCCCAATGCAGTAACCAACAGCTGTATGCCTTCAAACGGCGACGACAAGGTGTATCAGTGTCTCATTACTGTTTGAGTACTAAATCTCGTGGAGACCTGTAGGCGATTCGTACCTTGGATACAACCAGTGTACACCTGGAGACCAAGTGATGCCACACCGAGGGCCAAGCCAGCAACAGAGACTGGGTCCATGACCGTCCGGGCAACGAACGGGGCGATAATGTCGTCAGTTTTTACAATCTGGGTCGGCTCTCGGGTACTTTGCCTCCTGAATGCATGATGGGGTGTGGTTGATGAGAAGCTGAAAGCTGAACTCAGAGCCAACAACGTGCAACAGGCTTGCTAAAAGCACGAAACATGCTCTAGTACGCAGAGAAATGAGTCTGTTCGTAGCCACGTGGGCTAAGAAGTAGAGAGCAGTTGTGAGAGCCCACTACTTTCAGCTAGAGGTGTTGTGCTTGTTTCGCTTGATGAATGGTGTCAGCACTTCGGTCTGGTCTGGACCCCGGCAACCCTGATGATATCTCATATTCTGATTTGCGACAATGCTACTCCGTAATGCGGAGTACGGGAGGGCTATCCGCAACCCCGCGCGCACCTCATCCAATACCGCGCATACGATACCATGGCTCTGTTTTTCTTTGTGCAACGTAGGTGAAGTAACCAGACTGCCGGGATATGGAGTAGAGCCCTTGCCAATGGAAATGACTCTTTGTGGCTGGGGCCCGGAGACTAGATAGCCATTCGATACGTATCGACGGGATGGCACTATTTTCCGCGTTCGAGCTGCAGTACGGAGTACGGAGTACCGTATTAGACTTGCAGCTGGGCTGAAAGTGACGGCTATCTTACCAGACAAATTAGCCCCCACGGCGCATCGCCTATTTGTAAGCGAGGCAAACGGGAAGGAATACGGACGCTGTCCTCAATATTTGATTCAGGCTCATTGCTGGCTGCCCCCTCGCATGAAGACTTGGAAAAACAGTACTCTCATGGGCCGTCCACCAAGAACTACAACTGTTGCGTAGGTATGTGGGTGACAGGGCCTGGTTGAGCAGCGAAATGAATAGTAATAGGGTCCCCGCCAAATCATTCGTTTATCGTCTTGCACTCCGAAATAAGCAGCAGTGACCCAAGGAATGCGCGGTAAAAGCACCGAGTATGCAGCGAAAGTCAGAAATGTCAGAGGTACGAGCAAGGATCATGGTACTGCTGGTTCTGTACCCCGTACTCCGTAGATCTGGCCACATTCTGAGACATGCCGTGTATTTTGTTTATTAGATCTCACCTTCGTCATCTGTACGGAGTAAGGCCGAAATGAGTGTAGCCGTCACACTGGCGAGACAAGGCAGTACCAAAGGAAAAGAAACTTAAACTCAGTAGGCTGCTGCACAGAAGCGACCTTTATGCTGTCAAAACAGGACTTGGGGTTTCATTTCATGCGATGCGGGCGATGCGGCTGTTGTGTAGAACACCCACTCTTTTGCGCTTGGTCTGCCCAGTGTTCAATCTAGATTGTGGGCGAGGACAGAGCAGGGAGCTAGGGCCGAGATTCAGAAAGAGAGAGACAAAGAGAAAGGGGGTCTCAGTTGGATAGCAGCATGGGCCATGTTGGTCGGCACGGACTGCAAATTGCATTTGAGAGAAAGGAAAAATGAGATTGGAAAGGTTCGGCTGAGGAAGGAACGTTGGACGATTGCCTATTGTCCGTCGCCCATCGGTGTTTCTCATCAAGCTGCATGGAAGTTGGATGGTCGCCAATGAGCAGACGGCAAGACGGGCAGATGGCCTGATGCGCCTTCCTCGTGGCTCAACGACGTTGACCGGGTTTGGATTTGACTCGAGCAATTGGGAAAGAGCGACCACCATGCCGCACAGAGCACATATGCAGCATAGCAGATGCTCACGCCCTACTCGTTGACTGCGTCCGCGCAAGCCTGGCAATTGTGTATTCTCACTCCATGGCTCTTTGCCGAGTATTCCGTATACTGTACTCCGTATTGTTCTCGTCTCATTGCTGTGCAATTTGCTGTCAATTGTTCGAGTTACACATTGACCAGCCACACAGACATCCACACCTTCCCACTGACTTCCACCAGCTCCTGCGCGGCAGCCCGGAATCCCAGGAGTCCAGGACATGGTATGGAGACGCCTGGCCCTTCACCAGCCGGTGAGCAGCCAAGCCAGCCTTTGCCCAACCCTCTCACTCACTCACACAATAATAAATAGAGAACTCAACACCCCGTACGACGCGTTCCTGGGCCATAGATCAAGCCAGGTGGCCAGGATTCCAAGTTTATGGCAAGGCCAGAGAACAACCTACACGACCTGGACATTCCACATGAACACATCCAAAACGGCCAAGACAAGGACACAACCGCTCGCATTTTTGGGGGGACAAGCATGATGATGCTGTAATGCAATGATGCACAAATGCCTACTATAGTTGAGACTCCGCCGCCACAAAATTGCTTCTTTGCTGCCGCCAAACCTTCCCCACCCATCACAACCTTGGATCGACACTTTGTGGGAGCCTTACTCTTTGTGGCAGCACCCAGCCCGTAGGAAACCACAAAGCAGACGACTGAGCCTTTATCCGGACTAGTAGGAAATCCCATCCTTTCGTTCGTCTATCGCTCACTCGTCTCCTCTTTTGACACTAATCACCCAGCCTACGACGCCTTTGGCAACTTCAACACCTTCGACACGTGTGGGTCGTGAGCTTGTGGATATTCTTGATTCTTCCTGTACGATTGCTCTCTAGCACCAGGATCCTGAGTTTTAGATCCAACGGCGTGGTTATGGCTGTCAACCCTTCAGTTTCCGAGCCGGATGGCAGCTCTTTTTCAGCGTTCCAAAACCGGGCAGCTTCCATGTCTTCCGCATCATCGCCTAGCTCTCAGGCACAAAGCACAACCCCCGCTGCTGGTGTTGCAGATGCGGAGAAGAGCACACCTCCTGATATGAGCAATGACGGACGCTCGCGAGAATCAACTGTGCCCGCCGCTTGCCTGGCATGCGTAAGTTCCCATGACCCTTTCTGCCCCGTATTGGACTGCCCTTTTGTGGGCTTGAAGCATTTGTTTCCCACTTTGTAACTTCCTCAACGGCGCATTCCTATAAGCCTCCGGCGTTGACCACCTATGCTAATCTTTTTACACTATTAGCGCAGCAAACATCTCAAATGCGATGGGCAAACACCATGTGCCCGTTGTGTCAATACACAGAATGAATGTGTCTATGTTGCTTCCAGGAGAGGATACAAAGGCCCTCGTCGTGGCACAGTTCAGAACCCCAACAAGAGACAGGCCACGTCGCCTCCTGACCTAAGCCCAAGCAGTTCAGATTGTCCAATGCTACTCGGAGCACGAACCGGGTCGGCTAATATGCCCACGGTTATGGGCAGCACGTTTGGTCCGCCGGGTATTCCTGCGCAAGATACCCAGGCCACTCAATTCCCCCAGGCGCAGCCGCCTACTAACATGCAGCTGTACAAGTCTTATTGTGCAGTTAATGGAATAGAACCTTCGCCGTGGGCAGCAAACCAGAACGGAAGTCGACTTACTATGCACATCTCTGTTCCTACCACAGAGGAACGATGCTTCGATTCGTTCTACCACCACTTTCATGCCTCTCATCCGTTCGTCCTGCCCCCGAACTTCCTTTCGCACATATCGAAGGAGGCCCCTTTGAAACCAGTATTAGCAGCAATGAGATGGATCGGGTCTATTTTCCTCGATGTTGGCAGCCCTACTCGAGAACGACTGTTTAATGAAGCATTCAGCCTCATATGCGGCCCCAATCGGTCCAAGGACGGGTTTCTGGTTCAAGCTATGATGCTCCTCATTGTTGGTCTTGACGGAAGTTGTCAGCAGGACAGGGCAAGGAGTATTTTGAGCGAAACGGAGACCTTGGCGCTGGAACTGGGACTGAACACGCGAGAATTCGCTGCAAACCACGGGCGTGGCATTCCCGTACTGGAGGAAAGCTGGCGACGCACTTGGTGGGACTTATTTGTCATTGACGGAATGGTTGCTGGCGTCCACCGTGCAACTAATTTTCTCCTGTTTGATGTCCCGGCTAGAGCCGCACTACCCTGCGAAGAAGACCAATATATGTCCGGCGTGAGTGCGCAGTTTTTTCCCTTTTGCTTTCATATCCTCTTTAAAGCTCTCTGCCTTCATTCGAGCTAACCAGGAGCTGTAGCGAATACCTATCCCTCTGTACTTGGACGACCTTGAAGATCAAGACTTTTCCGGAGAAGACCGCGAATTTTCATCCTTCGCATATCGAGTACTGTGTGCTCGGAATTTAGGAAAATTGATGCGAGTCCCTCCTATCTTTGGACCGGAAGACGAAAATCTGGGAAAGATCGAAACACTTCTCACAAACTGGCGGCTTCATCTGCCGCAGTCGAAACGAGACGCTTTGCAAAAGAATGGACAGCTGGACGAAATGATGTTTCAGGCACACATGATGAATCAAGCTACTTCCATCATGCTTCATCAGCCACACTCTCAACTGGACTCATCTCCAACCCAGGATATCAACTCATGTGCTCCTCATCAGGCTATCCCTGCCGGCGACTTATTCAATTCACATACCAGACATACTATCGAATCTGCCAACAGCATCAGTACAATGATAACCCACCGCGTATCGTTGCTTTCGCATACTCACTTTTTCACATGCGTTATCACGCTGTCGTCGATCGTCCATCTGAGCAGGTGGGCTTTGTTCTTCATACCTCACGACGACGACGACCTTCGGCAGCAAATTCGCCTAAATATTGGGGCACTGAACCGCCTCTCTGAGGTCTGGGGGGCCGCTGACCGTGCCCGTGGACAGGTCAAGGCGGTAGCACAGGAAATTTACAAGGTGAAGAAGCAGCAGCGGTCTAATTCACAGTTCTGGCTGGGACTTTCCCAGGAGGAAATGCTGAACACGATTGCCACAGACGATTCGATTATCAACGAAATTGAAAATTTCGAGCCAATACCCAATCTCCTGGGGTGAAGCGGGAAGGCAATGATGACTGGACAGACGAAGGAAGGGTTTTCGAGGTCAACGCAGCGCGATGCGGCGTGCGGCGCAACATGTTACAACACTATGCAAAAGCTATTCTTTTATGTATTCACATCTAGTTATTTGAGTGGTATTTTCGGACCGAATCATGTTTAGGTGACGCAGTTGGCCAATCGGAATTGAAATATATTGCATGAATACAATGGGTTTCAAAGCATCGTCCGAATAAATATGAGTGGCTGTCAGGTAACTTGATAAGGGATCCTCGGCATTTTTGGGCCAGCCTACTCGGTAGGTATCATTGGAACTTGTGGTGCTCAGGTGCTTGCTTGCTTGCTCCGCAGTCGTTGCTTGGCGTGGATGCGTCTCTTTTTGTCCTCGTTTACTGTAGCACATGGGGAGACGTGAGACAGACTCAGGATACGGAGTAACCACAGGCTCGGAGATTTAAATCCCGTGATGAATGTGCACGGAGCCTAGAGCAAAGGCGGAGGGAGGGGGGATGCGGGAAACAACGGTCAAGGTGCTGTCTGCAGCCCTACAGCCCTACAGCCCTGTAGGCCAATGTACATGCTGTCATGTCAACATGGCTACATGCGTGCATCCTTGTGAGATTGGCCGTCCCCCAATGGATCGGATCAGCAGCTAGGCTGCGCGATCTCACATGAGCACAAGGGCCCGGAAGAACAAAATAGATGCGAAGGGGGGGATCGGGAGGGGACGATGGACGCGCGGGTGTGCCGGTTTCACACAAAGTCTTGACATCTCCCACGTGGGTTAGGCGGCAGGGCGGGTCTTGGCCGCCGACCTTCTGGATACTAGAGCGAGTACGGAGTAGTTGATGATGGTTCGGCGACCATGGACGAGGGCCGATACGCGCCGCATAGTCGGTCGTCGAGCGTGTTGCTTGGTTGATTATATGAAGGGGGATTGGTGGCGGCGAACGAGGGGACAGAGCGCAGACTGCTGCTGCCAGGCTCTAGCTTGGCGGGCGGAAGGGAGGCGTTTGCGTACTCCGTACAGCTGAGACGAGGAGATGAAAGAAAAAAAGCTAATCAAGCCTGACAAAGACGGCGACCTGGCAACGGCAGTGGCAAGCCGCCAGCATGTGTGTAATGTTGGTATGCAGACGTCAGTCGTCGGCGACCAAGGTTAGGGAGGCTCCCGAATTTTAACTTGGCAGAGAGGAGAGGTGTACGCCGTAGCACGGCGGGGTGGGCCAACGGCCACGACGCAGCCAATAGGGCAATTTGCCCCGCCAGTTTTCACTAGGTGTCAGAAGCCACGGCCAAAATCTAAAATGCCAAGGCACCAGCCAGTTGAGACGCATCTGGAGTGCGGAGTAATTGACGTTATCAAAAAATCGATGGGTCGCACATGGTGGACCCCGGATCCCCGACGAGGCGCAACCCGACACGACAGGCTGAAGCCGCAGGCGGGCAAGCAAACATTTTGACAGATGGCACGACGATTCTGTATGCTAGCGCAATGCGGCGCTGCCACGGGCCCTCGGGCGCGCTGGGATCGCATATTAAAGTATGGCAGCTCGGGCAGCCGGGGACCAAAACTCTGCCACTCGCCTCGCGGGTCGCAAACCGTTACATGTACATACAGTACGTATGATGTATCCACCACGGCAGCCGCACGCGCAGAGATGTGTATGGTGATACGTCCTCGGGCTCTGCCAGCATATGTATCATCTATCAAAAGATAGGCGGATGGGTGGACGGATGGATGGGGGATCGCATGTATATAAATATGGCCCTTTCTCTCGCCGCCACGTTATACCAGTGTCCAAGGAGCAATAATTTCCTAATTTCGGACATCTCCCCCCCCCCCCCCCCCCCCCTCTTCGACGTCGTACACCAACCATCGTACCAAACCTGACATCGCGCTGCATATATTGCTCACGGGTCCGCCAGGATCCCTGCCTACAGCCTGCGTCTCGCCGACCAGCTTTGCACTCCCAATACAAAGAGCTGGTGTCTTCCCCGCCTCCTGCCCGAATCCTCTTTTTTCTCTTTTCCAAAAGCGTATACCCGGAATTCTGCTCGTTTTGTTTTTCGTGGGAAGAGGAAGACGGAAAAAAAGGGACGTATAAAATAGGTCGACACAGACATGGCCCAACAGGCGATGGGTTGTGAGAAGCCCGATCCCCCGCCGGTCGGTATCAAGACGGACCCGGAGCAGCAGCCCGTCGCGGACAGGCATCTGGACAACTCGACCGTCAAGAACATCACCTGGAGCGGGGTCACCGTCACGGTCAAGGACAGGGAGACGAAGAAGCCAAAGAAGATTGTGGACGACGCGGCGGGCGCAGTCCAGGCTGGTGAGTTTGAGGCCTTTGTTTGCTCGTCACATATACGGTCAGAGATTGCGTGTATACATTGGCGTATACACACGGATGTGTATACATGCATACATGCGTCCTCATATGTGCGCACGTTATACACATCCATACCTATATAATATACGCATGCACACACACACACGTGTATACACTCATACATGCATGGATATATACATATACAACGCTTCCAACGTCATCCCCTACCTACAAGACAGTCTTGATATACTAACACCTCTGGCCAGGCGAAATCTGCGCCCTCATGGGCCCCTCGGGCTGCGGCAAGACGACGCTGCTCAACGTCCTCGCGCGCCGGCCAACCAACGCAAGCGACGTCCAAGCCAAGGTGCTCATCAACGGCAACCAAGTGTCGCAATCGGCCTTTCGCCAACTGACCTGCTTCGTGGAACAAGAAGACGCGCTGATCGGCTCACTCACGGTGCGTGAGACGCTCGAGTTTTCCTCCCGTCTCGCCAGCACGAGGTTGTTCCCCCCTGCCCCTCTTCCTCCTCCTCCTCAACACCAAAAGACACAAGGGCTGACATGAAAGCCACAGCTCGCTCCCCCGGAAAGAACGCATCCTCCGCATCGACTCCCTCCTGGCCTCCTTCGGGCTCACGGCGCAGGCGTCGACGCTCATCGGCACGCCCATCCGCAAGGGCATATCGGGCGGGCAGAAGCGCCGCGTCGGCGTGGCCAGCCAGCTCATCACCAGCCCACGCATCCTGTTCCTCGACGAGCCCACGTCGGGCCTCGACTCGGCCGCCTCGCGCGAGGTCGTGAGCTACCTGCGCGCCGTGGCCCGGCGCCACGCCCTCATCGTCGTCTGCTCCATCCACCAGCCGTCCACGGCCACCTTCAACCTCTTCGACCGGCTGGTGCTCCTGTCGGCCGGCAAGACGCACTTCTGCGGGCCCGTCGCCGCCGTCGTGCCGCACTTTCGCGCCCTCGGCGCCGCCGTCCCCAACTACACCAACCCGGCCGAGTTCCTCCTCGAGCTCGTTAACCTCGACTTCTCGCACGACGCCGCCGGCGCGTCGGCGCGCCTCGACGCCCTCCACACGCAGTGGCTCGAGTCGCCGCAGGCCCGCGAGGCGGCCGCCCTCGTCGCCGACCTCTCCGCGACCGCGCACCCGCTCGACCTGTCCGAGATGCGGAGGCCGTCGCCGCTGCACCTCACCCTCACCCTCCTGCACCGCTCCTTGATCAAGTCGTACCGCGACGTCGTGGCCTACGGCATCCGCATCGCCATGTACACGGGGCTCGCCGTCATGATGGGCACCGTGTGGGTGCGCCTCTCGCCGGACCAGGAGTCCATCCAGCCCTTCATCAACGCCATCTTCTTCGGGTCCGCCTTCATGTCCTTCATGGCCGTCGCCTACGTGCCCGCCTTCCTCGAGGACCGCCTCCAGTACGTCAAGGACCTGCGCAACGGGCTCTACGGCGCCGGCGAGTTCGTCGTCGCAAACTTCTTCATCGGCGTCCCCTACCTGTTCTTCATCTCCGTCCTCTTCTCCGTCATCTCGTACTGGCTGTCCAACTTCCAGCCCACGGCCAAGGCCTTCTTCACCTGGATCATGTGGCTCTTCCTCGACCTGCTGGCCGCCGAGTCGCTCGTCGTCTTCATGTCCTCCCTCGTGCCCAGCTTCGTCATCTCCCTGGCCCTCGTGGCCTTCGCAAACGGCCTCTGGATGTCCGTCGGCGGCTTCATGGTCCCGCCGACCATTCTCAACGCCTTTTACAAGTACGTCTTTCACTACTGGGACTACCAGAAGTACGTCTTTGAGGGCATGATGGTGAATGAGTTTGCCGAGCGGACGTACGCCTGCGGGGAGGGCTGTCGCTGCATGTACGAGTCGCCATTGGCTGATCGCTGCGAGATTGCCGGCCAGGCTGTCCTGTACCAGTACGGCTACTCGACCGGCAACATGGGCCAGAATGTCGGCATCATGATTTCCATTATTGCCGGGTATAGGATCGCTTCGTGGATTGTTTTAAAGCTGCGCAAGTAGAGGACCGTATATACTTCCGGGGGGGATATAGATGATGATAGATTGAGCATATGAGGGTATATTTTAATAGACTGGATTTTGTTCTTTTGGCCACATACTCCGTACAAAGTTTAAATGTGCGAGACGCCTTCAGTCTCGAACTAACCATTATTTGTCGTACCGCTTGAGGGACATTTTGAGGGATCCAATGTGAGGTTTGACTCGATGTTCCGGCGTTGTACCATCAATAGCACGTGGCAAGAGAACATGGTGAAGTGATGAAGTCCAGATCTGGTGTGATGCAGAGGAACAAAATGAAGATGCCTGGCATGTGGGGCGGTGCCTGCAACAGTCCCTGGCTGGTGTAGTCCGTGCATAGGCCCTACTAGCATGAGTTAGTTGACAGTTCAGTGTTTCAATGTTGCCTCCATGTTCACTTCTCTGGGCGTCTCCAGGAATACATCATACAAGTCATGGATATGGAAACTTCCAGCGAGGGCCACGTAGATTCATCATCTTTATTAAAAATTTCATCGCATTCATTAATAGTCTATTTTTAACACTTCTGCTAGTGCGTATGCAGCATGCGCCAATCCCGCCATTACCAACTGCTCCCTCGGCCCTCACGACGTCCCCCTCTTACACAACCGCCT